AAGTCCTCTTCACTTTCAGCAAGCAGTATTGTAGAGACAGACAAAATGGCTGCTGTTATCATCCTTACAAAAGTGTCTTGAACTTGATGGAGCTTATGTTGAGAAATCAAGTTTATGGATTTTTAAGTGTTTATCTTTTAATTCCAGTTTACCACAGACTTTTTTACATCCTTGAGATTTATATATTTTAAATGATATTTTAATGCTTGCTAATTGTCTGAGATCAAATTAGTGTCTATTAGTTAATTTGGACTGCATATACTTGATTCCAAGGAGCTCTGGTAGCGTAGTGGTTACGAATCGGGCTGTGAACCGCAAGGTCAGCAGTTCAAAACTACCAGCTGCTCTGCGGGAGACAGATGAGGCTTTCTGCTCCCGTAAAGATTTATAGCCTGATAGGGTCCCTGTGAGTCGGAACTGACTTCACAGCACTTAACAACAACAACAACATACTTGAATCCACAAGGCTGTGGGTGGAGGAATGTCCACTGAATACTACTCTGAGATTTTCTCTTGCAGCTGACTTTGGTGTCTCTGCCAAGAATCTGAAAACTCTGCAGAAACGAGATTCTTTCATCGGAACGCCTTACTGGTGAGTTGTGTAGCTTCTAGATACATCTCCCCGGGTATCCTTCTTGGGCTATAGAAGGAGAAGAGCCAGAGGACAAGGGAGGATTCCCTATTTGAGGCCAGTCTCTACCCCTTAGTAGTAGTTTGATCCTGAACAAGTTGCTTAGTCCCGCCTGGGTGTCAGTTTGCTCACCTGTAAAATTGGGATGAATTGGGATGCTGTGAAGCTTGAATGAGATGATGCATGTATAAAATGTGTCATCCTTGATATTGAAAATGGAAACCCTTTGAAAATGGTTCAGTTCTTGATTTATTCAACATGTATTTGTTGAGTGCCAGGGGCTGAATTGGGAGTGAGGGGAAACAAGATGAACAACGCAAGCTCAGAGTCTACCCTCGTTGAAATCTTCTTGGATTTCTCTAGTTCGTGGTATTTGCTTTTCTTTTTTGTTCCAATAATAGTACTTTTTAAAAGCAATTCTCTTAGTCAGTTTCACAACTAACTGCTTTCTCTCTTGTCCTGTTTTCATAATTTTTTTGATGTGCATGAATTCCATTTTCCTAGTGTAGAGTTTTAGGCTCCTTTCTTGTTACTTAACCTTTATTTCTTTCTCTACCCTTTTATTCCTCTTTCACCTTGTCTCTCTCGCCCCTTTTGTCTATGTTACTATATTCTTTCCAACTGATCCCCCCCCCCCCCCAATTTTCCTTCACCTCTTCCCGTCAACCCCCTTCCCTCTCCCCAGGACCCTGTGTTCTGGATTGTTGCTGCCACCTTGTGGTAGGCATCAGGAACAGCAGCGGGACATGGAGGTGGAGCCGATTGGAAGGCATTTGTCTGTGTGAATGGAAGCCTGTGAGGAAGACAGTGGGATGTAAAGTAATGCAAATACTGATTCAGGAATGCCTGCACTATGACATTGACTGGTGGTGGTTCTTGACCATGAATTCCCAAGAGATGTTCATGGCAGCCACATTCTGAACTCTGTGTTGTCCCTTGGTTGATTCAGGATGGCGCCTGAGGTGGTGATGTGTGAGACCATGAAGGATACCCCATACGACTACAAAGCTGACATCTGGTCCTTGGGCATCACCCTGATTGAGATGGCCCAGATTGAGCCTCCGCACCACGAGCTCAACCCCATGCGGGTCCTGCTCAAGATTGCCAAGTCAGACCCGCCCACACTGCTCGCCCCTTCTAAGTGGTAAGGGGTTGCGATGGGGTCAAGTGTAATTGGGGTAATTGGAGTTTAGGACTTTCCTGTCACTGTTAGACTTCAAAACAGGAGAGAGCTCAGGTTTTCCCCCATCACTGGGCCTCCAAGCCTCTTGCTCTCTACTTGGGATCTTCATGAAAGCAAACCAGGGAACCCTGGTAAGCCAGGTCCTACTGGGAGCAGGGGTCCATCCCAGATGCCAGCAGCCACATGTCACAACCCCGAGCTGGGAATGTAGGTTCAGCTTTGCTTCATTGTGAGTCACCAGGTAACCTTGAGTTGGTCCCTGCCCTCTCTAGTTGTGTCGTGCTTGGGTGGAGAAGGTCACTGTAAAGGTCCATCGCCTGCACGTGCCAGCTTGTGAAGATGCTCTTTGTCCCTTTAGGTGGGCATGTTTGGGAAGCACATCCCTTCTGGGAAAGTAGAATCTCTGACGTGGGGGTTTCCCCGGTTCTCATGCTGCTCCCCAGCTCGCTACCAACACCTGTCCTTCCAGGTCAGTGGAGTTCCGAGACTTCCTGAAGGTGGCCTTGGATAAGAACCCAGAAACTCGGCCCAGTGCCGCACAGCTCCTAGAGGTGAGTGAGTCCCTTCTTTCGGGGTGCAGCCGCCTACTCCACTCCACCCTACCCTTCCACTGGAGGTGGGAGGAGCCTGGAGGGTGGTGATGGATGAGGCCATGGGTGATCTGGAAGTTGAATGTGTCCCTGCCCAGCCCACTGATGCACTGATTCCAGGGCCCAGTCCTGAGTAATGTCCTGGGTGCTGGCATGCTGGGCTTGGCCTGGAGACTCTGCTCACCATGGAATCTGGCGTCCAGTGTGTCCAGATTTCAGTGAGTGGCCTGAGTCTGAACTGGGGGTGGGGGTGGGGGGTGGGTTCCAGCAAATAGTGGTAGTAAGGGTTCAGTAAATATTGGTTAAATGGAGGAATGACTGCAAAGAACACAAACTCCTTCAATGTAATGCAATCCAAAGGGAGATATTGAAAATACCTCGAAGCACCTCACAATAGCAAACCCCCACCAGCCCTGCAGGAGCTGAAGCTGGAAGAGAGTGGACACTTGGTGAATATCTGTTGACAAATGAATGGAAAGTCTTGAGGGCGTGGGGCAGCTGTTCTGTGCCCCTCCCTTTACCCTTCTCAGCTGGGTCTTCATAACTCCTCAAGACTGAACTAGAACAACTCTTCCAGTCATTGATTTACAAGTGAGGCCTGAATTCCAGTCCTTGTTTGTTTCCTCTCTAGCATAGTGGTTAAGGGCTGGGTTCCCCTTCTGGGGCAGGGCTGAGCCAGCTGGTGAACCTGAGCACATGACTTAGCCTGTCCGGGCCTCAGTTTCTGCATCTCTATAATTGCTGTTAGTTGTCATTGAGTTGGCTCTGATTCATGGTGACCCACTGTACAGCAGAGCAAAAGGCTGCCTGGTCCTGTGCCACCTTCAGGATCGTTGGCATGCTTGAGTCCTGCCAACCTAGGGAGTTCCTCTTCCAGCTCAGTATTTGACAGTGTTCTGTTGTGAGCCACAGAGCTTTCATTGTCTAATTTTCAAATGTAGATCACCAGGCCTTTCTTCCTAGTCTGTCTTAGTCTGGAAGCTCTGCTGAATCTTGCCCTACATGGATGATCCTTCTGGTGGCATAGTTTCCAGCATCATAACCACATGCCAGCCAACACAGTACATCAAACTGAGAGATGGATGGTATAGCTGTAAAATAGGAGTAACAATAATGCCTACCTCATAAGATTATGAGGATGAAATGAGATTGTGTATATAGAATATGTTGTTGTCATTGTTAGGTGCCATTGAGTTCCAACTCATAGGGACCCAATGTACAATAGAACAAAAAACTTCCCAGTCCTGTGCCATCCTCACAGTTGTGCTGTGTTTGAGCGCATTGTTGGAGTTCCATATGTCTTTATTTTCTCTCTGACCCTCTACCAAGCATGATGTTCTTCTCCAGGGACTGGTCCCTCCTACGTTTGCTTCTAAGGAGAATTCTGGCTAACTTCTTCTAAGACAGATTTGTTCATTCTTCTGGCAGTTCATGTATTCTTCTCCAACACTGTAATTCAGAGACCTCAATTCTTCTTTGGTCTTCCTTACTAATTCTCCAGCTTTTATGTGCATTTGAGGCAGTTGAAAATACTATGATTTGGGTCAGACTTAATCCTCAAAGTGACATCTTTGCTCTGTAACAAAAAATCTTTTGCAACAGATTTGCCCAATGCAATGATGTTGTTTCATTTCTTCACTGCTGCTTCCATGAACATTGATTGTGAATCCAAGTAAAATGAAATCCTTGACAACTTGAATCTGTTCTCCATTTATTGTGATGTCGTTTCTCAGTCTAGTTGTAAGCCTTTTAGTTTTCTCTGTTTTGAGATGGAATCCATACTGAAAGCGATTGTCCTTGATCTTCATCACTCAGGGCTTCAAGTCCATTTCACTTTCAGCCAGCAAAGTGTAGAATGTGTTGTTGTTGTTAAGTGCCGTGGAGTCGGTTCCCACTCATAGCGACCCTGCACAGGGTTTCTGAGGCTGTACATCTTTATGGAAGCAGAAAGCCTCATCTTTCTCCCACGGAACAGCTGGTAGTTTTGAACTGCGGGCTTTGAGGTTAGCAGCCCGATTCGTAACCACTACGCTACCAGAGCTCCATGTAGAATGTGTAGCACATGGAAAATACGCAGGACATTTGTCCACCACCATTATTATCATCATCTTTATCAAAAAACATGAGACAGTAAAACTTGTAAAACATTGTTGTATGCCGTTGAGTTGGTTCTGATTCATAGCTACCCTGTATTGGGTTTCCAAGGAGCAGCAGATGGGTTTGAACCACCAACCTTGCAGTTCAAACCAACCTGGCAGTCCACTGCATTATCCTACAGTGTCACGTAGGTAGGTTAAAAAAAAAAACAACAACTCTGATTTCTCCCATTCCTGACTCTAATGTTCTGAAACATTTTGCCACCAACACACAATGGTAATGAAACAGTAATCGCTTCCCCAGCTCTTAATTTCTCAGGCCTAGGGAGTCCTGGCATGGCGCTATAGGATAAGCACTCAACCACAAGTCGGTTTGAACCACAAGGTTGGTGGTTCAAACTCACCAGTCACTCCTTAGAAACCATATACAGGGTCACTATGAATCAGAACGGACTCAACGGCACTTAACAACAAGAACAACAATGCCAGCCTGAGGGATGGAAGAGCGGAAAGAATCTGCAGAAACAGACTGAAGGAGTGTTATTCTAAGTAGAGGCAATGAAACTCCAGTTCAGCCAAGATTGAAGGACGTTTTCCTGTGCAAGCCTTATGGGAAGAAGTCCCCTGGGGGTTCCAGCCAGGCACTGCCCTTAGGCACCTCACCAGTAATGCAAGAGGGGGATGTGCTGTGCTGGAGACCCCAATCAGAGGTATCAGGGACCCAGAGAAGGAGCACCAGCCATTCAGGAATTGACAGTGTTCTGTTGTGACTTCTGAGCAGGAATGACTTCTGAGCTGTACTGTGTCAGTTTCCTAAGCCAGTTGCTTTAACTTATGGTGACCGTACATGTGCTAGAGTAGAACTGCTCCATAGAGCTTTCAGTGGCTGGCTTTTTTAAGAAATAGATCGCTAGGACTTTCTTCCAAGGGTGGATTTGAACCTCCAGCTTTACAGTTTGCACTGCCTAGGACTCCACCAGTTTACTAGGGCTGCCATAGTCAAATGCCTTTGTTATAGGTGATGTACAGTCACAGAAATGTATTCTTTTTAAGTTCTGGATGCTACTAATCCAGAATCAAGGTATCAGCTGGGCCATGCTGTTTTTGAAGGAGAAGACCCTTCCTTGCTTCTTCCTAACTTCTGCTAGGTCCCAGCGATCCTTGGCATGTAGCTCTATCACTTTAGTCTCTGCCTCATCTTCACGTGGCCATCTTCCCACTGTGTGTCTGTGTTCTTGCTCTTTTATAAGGATAGCACTCAGATGGGACCAGGACCCACCCTACTCCAGTGTGGCCAAATGTTAATGGATCACATCTTCTCACACCCTCTTTCCAAAGAAGGTCAGCTCCTGAAGATTAGGACTTCATCATATCTTCTGGGGGTACGCAATTCAACACAGAAGTCTTGAAGTATAAATAAGAGACAGGCAAAGAGCGTTGGGAAGGTTGTCCTTGAACAAAGTAACAGCATGGACCATCACTCCTTCACACAACTGGGATTTACCAGGCACCTCCGAAATGCCAGCTCTTGTGCTTGGAGAGTGCAGTCAGTGGATCTGGCAAGACCCCTGACCTTGTGCTCCACCTGGGAGAGAAGCAGCAAGCAAACAAGCACATGCTGATGTGTGCTATGGAGAAAAGTAAAATAGTGTAGGTGTGGTGGTGCCCGGGAGGGCTGCTCTCCTACACAGGTGGTCAAGGGAGGACTCACTGATAGGTGATGTGTGAACAGACCCCCAAAGGTGGTGAGGGAGCTAAGCACAGGGTGTGGCAGTCCCAGAGACCTAGGATGGGGGCCCTGTCGACATGTACTGAGAAGAGCTAGGAGGGTAGAGCAGGTCTGGGCACACAGGACAGACTGATTGGGAATGAAGTTGGAGTCATACTAGGGGGTGGCAGAGACCCCCTCCCCCAGGACCACCCTCAGGTTTGATGAGTCACTGGGAAGAGTTATAGGACTTGGTATGTTATTGTATTCAAGACTATGATTTGTTACAGTGAGAATCTGTGTTATCATAACAGATTCAAAATGCAAAAACAATAACATCAAACCATTCCTCCCACGGCCCTCTCTACTCAGCTCAGTTCCATGATTCATTGCAATGGCTACAGAAAACTCAGACAACATGCTCACAATTATGGGGTTTGTCGTTCTTGTTTAGTGCCTTCGAGTCAATTCTAACCCACAGTGACCCTATATACAGTTTCCGAGGAGTGACTGGTGAACTTGAACTGCCAACCTTACGGTACAAATCCACTTTGCCGTCCAGTACATTAACCCACAGCGCCATACCAGGACTCCATTATGGGATTTATTAGGTAGTTTATTAGGGAAGTCAGAAATGTTCAGTGCACAGTTGTTCCAGTCGGTATAGCCTCTCCGCAGCTGTGCCCACAAGCAGGGCTCTCTCTGCCTGGGAGTGTTACAGAGCTCTTTTAGGACTGCTAGTATATGTCCTCAAGGAGCTCTGGTAGCGTAGTGGTTACGAATCGGGCTGCTAACCTCAAGGTCAGCAGTTCAAAACCACCAGCTGTTCCATGGGAGAAAGGTGAGGCTTTCTGCTCCCGTAAAGAGTTATAGCCTCAGAAACCCTGTACAGGGTTGCTTTGAGTCGGAATCAACTCCACGGCATATAACAACACCACCCCACTCGACTATAAGCTCAGCCTGAAGTGTGTGCTCTGTGGATCGGTAAATCTGACTCCCTAGTTAAGTGCCTGGAGGCACCCCACTCTGCAAGAACGTCTCCTGCTCAAAGTCACTCAGCTTTACTTGCTCCGTGGGCTGGGGAGCTCACTGCTTCGCCTGGTGCTCTGGCTCTTGGTTCTGCTGCTGCTGCTGCTCCTCTGCCCCTCCCCCCGTGT